TCAGATACTTAGATAATTAAGGAATCAATGGTTGAGGATATTTGTAATATCTTAAATAATGGTGAAGTACCTAATTTATTCCCTCCTGAAGAGAAAAGTAAAATTATTGAAGAAATGAGCAGTTATACTTCTGGTACACCTAATGAGAAATATAGTTATTTTGTTAAATAATGCAAGAAGAATTTGCATCTTGTGATTTGTATGTCACCTGTTGGAGAAGCTTTCAGAAGAAGATTGCGTACTTTCCCTGCTTTGGTTAATTGTACAACAATTGATTGGTTTTTACCATGGCCAGAAGAAGCACTTAGATCAACTGCTGATGCTGTATTTACTAGAGATATGAATATCACTGATACTAAATTAAGATAAGGCTTGGTGGATATAGCAGTAGATATGTAGATGAGAGTATCTGATCTAACCAAAAGATATTATAATGAATTAAGAAGATATTATTATGTTACTCCAACATCTTATTTGGAATTACTAAATACATTTAAAAGACTGAAATCAGATAGAGATCAAAATATGATTAAAATGATATCACGTTATGAAGCAGGTGTGGATAAGATTATAATAACAGAGAGTGAAGTAAGTAAAATGTAAAAGGAATTAGAAGATTTATAACCAAAATTAGAATAAGCAACTAAGGACAACAGTATAATGTTGATTAATTTGTAAAAGAAATAGAAAGAAGCAGATGCAAGAAAATAGGTTTGTTAATAAGAGGAAAAAGATTGTAATGTACAAAGAGATGCAGCAAATGCTTTAAGAAATGATTGTTAAAATGATCTAGATAAAGTTTTGCCTATTTTGGCTTAAGCTGCAGAGGCATTAGAAAAGATTGATAAAAATGATATGGTGCAATTGAAGTCATTTCCTAAGCCTCCACCTTCTGCTGCTATTGTTATGGAAGGATTATGTTACATTTTCTAAGAAGATCATAATGTTCCATGGAAACCAAAAGAACCTGGTTCAATTGAAAAAGTATAAGATTTTTGGGAGTATTCTAAAAAGAATCTTTTGAATGATAAGTTGATCAAAAGAATTAAGGATTTCAGAGATGATTCAATTAGATCAATCCCTTAAGCAAAAATCAACAAATTAAAAGCATTTTCACAAAATCCATTATTTTAGAAGGATAAAGTATTTAATGCATCTGTTGCAGCAGGTAATCTAAGTTTATGGGTTCGTGCTGTTGTAGAAACCTATGATGCTTTACTAGTTGTTGATCCAAAGAGATAACAATTACTAGAAGCAGAATCTAAATTAAAAGAAGCAGAAGATACACTAAGAGTTAAGTAAGAAGCATTACAAGAAGTGCTTGATATGTTGGCTAAATTAGAGGCAGAATATAATAAGGCTAAGCAGGAAAAGGAAGATTTGGAAGCAAAGGTTAATAAATGCAAAATATAATTGAGTAGAGCAGAAAAATTAATTACAGAATTAGGAGGAGAGAAGGAGAGTTGGAAGAAGAAGGCTGCTGATTTTAGAGTTGATTCTAAAACAATTGTTGGGGATTGTATTTTATCATCAGGTATTGTGGCTTATTTGGGAGCATTTCCTATTGCTTATAGAGATGATACAATAAAAGCATGGTAAGGTTTATTAATTAAATTGAATTTGGAGTATGATCCAGATTATTCATTACAAAAAATTTTATGTGATCCTATTACGATGGGATAATGGACAAATGTTTAAAAGTTACCAAATGATTCATTTTCTATTGATAATGCTATCATCTTAAAAAATTCTACAAGATGGCCTTTAATGATTGATCCTTAAACACAAGCAAATACATGGGTTAAGCATATGGAAATGAAACATGGAGAGAATTAATCTCTGGTGATTGTTAGACCTACATAATCTTAGAATGTATTGTCTAAGACTTTGGAAAGCGCTTTACAATTTGGTTAGAGTGTCTTATTAGAAAATGTTGGAGAGAGCATAGATGCCATTTTTGAATCAATTTTACAATAAAAGATCATCAAACAAGGTTCAGCCTATAAATTAAAATTTGGAGATAAGATGGTTGACTATTCAAGAGATTTCAAATTTTATATGACAACCAAATTAGCTAGACCTCATTATCCACCTGAAATTTGCGTTAAAGTGACTATGTTAAACTTTTAAGTTACATAAGAGGGGTTAGAAGATCAAATGTTAAACATTGTTGTAAAGATAGAGGAACCTGCTAAAGATGAATAAAGATAAAGGAATATTAAGGAATTCTTTGAAAATAAGAATAAATAAAAAATGACTGAAGATAACATTTTATAATTATTACAAGAGTCTAAAGGTAATTTATTAGACGATGAAGTTTTAATTGATACTTTGTAAAGATCTAAAGCAGAATCAATAACTATATAAGATAAATTGAAGAAGTAAGAATAGGATAGAGAATAATTCAATCAGATTCGTAATTTCTACAGAGAAGTTGCAAAGAGAGTTGCTAATTTATATTTTGTTGTGTTGGATCTTTCATTGATAGAACCAACTTATCAATGGTCCTTAGAATTCTATATAATATTATTTGAAAGAGCAATCAGAGAATCTATTTAAGGAAAAGAGAATAGAAGTAAAAATATAATAGATAAATTTTAAATATCTTTATATGAGAGTATTTGTAGATCTCTTTTGGAAAAGGATAAATTAATATATTCATTCTTGATGACAATGAAAGTGATGTAAAGTGATGGTAAGATTACTCCTTAAGAGATTCGTTTTACTATGGTAGGAGGAACTTATACAGATCCTACATATCATTAACCATAAGCAGAATGGATTTCAAAAAAGATGTGGTGTTTAATAACTGAGGCGGCTGATGTGATGGCATGCTTCAAAGGTTTGCCTGAATCAGTTACAAAAAATCTTGATTAATGGCAAGAAATTTATGATAGTTCTGAACCTCAAACCTAAAAATTACCAGAACCTTGGGCTACATCTTTATCAGCCTTTTAGAAATTAATAATTTTAAGGATTATTAGACCAGATAAATTTGCTAATGCAACTCAAAATCTAATCATTACAGAAATGGGTAAATAATTCATGGATCCTCCACCTTTCAATCTTGAATACGCCTATAAAGATGCAGATGCATTCACACCCTTAATTTTTATTTTATCACCTGGTGCAGACCCTCGTTTAGAAATATAAGCTTTGGCTGACAAATTTGGATTTAGGTAAAACTTTATTCCACTCTCATTGGGTCAAGGTTAAGGTGAAATTGCAACAAATGCTATTAAAGGAGCAGTAAAAGATGGAAAATGGGTATTATTATAGAATTGCCATCTTGCTCCATCTTTTATGCCAGAATTGGAGAGAATTCATGAATAGGAAATATGTGCAAAACCAGATGTGAATACTGATTTCAGAATATGGTTAACTTCAATGCCATCTAATGTATTTCCTGTCACTCTTTTAATGAAAGGTATTAAGATGACTTATGAGCCACCAAGAGGATTAAAAAATAATATGCTTAGAAACTTTTCCTCAATTGATGCAAAAAGTTTTGAATAGTGTAAGAAACCAGTTGAATGGAAAAAGTTATTTTTTGGATTAAACTTCTTCCATGCTGTTTGTTTAGAGCGTCGTAAGTATGGACCACTTGGATGGAATATTCCATATGAATTTACTTCAGCAGATTTAGCAATATCAGTATCTTAATTAAGGAATTTCCTTGATACATTTGAAGATATTCCTTGGGAAGCTCTTAATTATATGGTTGCTGAAGCTAATTATGGAGGTAGAGTGACAGATCCAAAAGACAGAAGATTAATTGCTATTCTACTCAAATAATTTTATACAACTGATGTGTTATAGATTGATAAACATAAATTGAGTCCAAGTGGAATTTATTACATACCTCCAAATGGGGTTTTAGAAGATTACAAAGAATATATAAGAAATTTACCATTGAATGATTAAACTGAAGTATTTGGATTACACGATAATGCTGAAATATCATCTGCAATTATCGAAACCAACTTTATAACATCAACTATATTATCATTGCTTCCAAGATCTACTGGAGGTGCAGGAACATCTGCAGAGGATCTTATAAAAGAAAAATGTAAATAAATTTTATCTAAATTACCTAACAAATTCAATGTTGAAGAGGCTGCTCGTAAACATCCTGTTTAATATAATCAGAGTATGAACACAGTCTTACAATAAGAATTGATTAGATTCAATAAATTATTATAAGCAGTTACATAATCTTTGATTGATTTAGGAAAGGCAATTGATGGTTTAGTTGTAATGAGTGCAGATTTAGAATAAGTTTTTAATAAAGTTTTTGATAATCAAGTTCCTGATATTTGGCATAAAGTGGCTTATCCATCACTTAAACCTTTAGGATCTTGGATTAATGATTTTATTGAAAGATTGCACTTTATGCAATTATGGATAGACAATGGATCTCCACCTACTTTCTGGATATCTGGATTCTTTTTCACATAGTCCTTTTTAACTGGCACTCTATAGAACTTCGCTAGAAAAGTATATATAAATTTCTATTTTAGTACTAAATCCCTATTGATACTTTGTCTTTTGAATTTATAGTGATCCCCCCTTCATCATAAGAGTATGATCTTACTAAACCGCCTGATGATGGATGTTATATTTATGGGTTATTCCTTGATGGAGCTAGATGGGATGAAGAAAATAGATGTTTAAATGAGAGTTTACCTAAAATTTTGTAATATTCTGTACCATATCTCTGGTTATTGCCAAGTGAGGAAAAGAAGGATTGGGAAGTTGATACATCTGTAAGAATAAATGTAATTTTTAATAGGTTTATGAATGCCCAGTTTACAAGACTTCAAGAAGAGCAGGTACTCTATCTACTACTGGTCATTCTACTAATTTTGTAATATCTGTATATTTACCTATATCACCTGATCATCATCCTTACCATTGGGTCAAAAGAGGAGTGGCAATTTTATGCTAGACAGATGATTGAATAAATATTTTGAGTAATATATAAATTAAACTTAATTATTTATGGAAGAATAAACTTAAGAACGTTTATCATAATTATAAGACATCCTAGCTCTTAGTGATGTTCCGAAAATTACAAAAAAGCTATCCAAATTTGGATTCACTTGTTCTGAGTTACTTTAATAATTAGTTGAAACCAATCATAATCAGGGTATTTAAATTTTGCAATCATATTCAAACAACTTTACAGAATTAAAAGGAAAATCATTCGTAGCCTTAATCTTGTATCTCTCAACTCAAGAACCCAATATTGAAGCAATCTTATTAGCTGATAAATTGTTATAGTCTACTCAATATGTGGGGAACTTTGTGAAGAATTATGAAAAAGCTATTTTAGATGATAGTCCTTTTAGTCAATAAATTGTTAATCATATAGTCTAAAACAAAACCAATGTCCCTAATTTCAATCTCATTTTTGAGAAATTGTTTTAATTATGTAAATAAAAAAAATTGGATAACATTCATGAATTTGAATAGTTGATGAAGACTTAGAAAGATGTTGTTTTAATTATTGACAAACCAATAATAAAGATATTTCCATTGACTCCTAGAATTAAATCTGAGTATCTACCAAAGCATCTATAAATTAAGAAAACATAAAATGCTATTTCTAAATAAGAAGAATTACGATCAATGCAAAAAAAAAAAATAATGACTAAAAAGAAATTAATGAGAGAACTTTATAAAGAATAAAATCAATTACATAAAATTAAAAAAGAGAAACTTCTTCATCAACTTGACAAATAAAAAGATGGATATAAAAAGTAAAAATTATTATAATAACTTTAGAGGATTAAGATTGTTAGAAGAATAATAAATGGAATTAAAGAAACTCAAAACAATGCAATTAAATATCAAGAGAAATAAAAAGAAATCTTCTAGAAAGGGTGGAAATAAACAATGAAATATTTGTTAATATTATTAATTATTAAAAAATTTCTTTCAGTAATTAACAATTTGACAAACCCTAAAAAATGGCTAAATATAGTGCTTAAAACTTGAAAACCTTATTGCCTACTTAAATCCAAGTATTAAGAAACCTTTTCAATAAATTCCATTTATGGTAATAACAATAAATAATAATGTATCCTAGATCACAATGCAAATAAAGAACGATCTTATAGATATAAGATATAATTATGATGATGTGAATATAATGACACCAATTTATGCAAGTAATCTACTATAAAATAAATTAAAAAATAGAAGTGATTTATTATATTCTCACATAAACAAATAAGGCTATTATATATTTTTAATTGACTTAGTAATAGAAATTTTCTTTATAATTATCTAATTTAATAAAAATTTTATCCATTATGTGATATCATGTAGACTTTAATGAAATACAGCAAGAATAATATCATCAAATACTTCAAAGTTTGAAGACTATTCTAATCTAAGGTAATACTATTTACATAGATGGATAAAATTCGAATTCGAGCTTTTGAAAAGAATACAGGGGCAGAATGTTTTAAAAAAAGGAAATTATTTTGGAGCTACAAAGTATTATGCCAAAATTAGATTCATTTTATTAATTTGAAGCAGTAATGGCTTATTAATTTTTAATAAAAGATGGAATGGTGAATGATCTTACAGCTGGATAGGATTTTCAAAGAATATTAGAAATTTATTCAAATAATGAGGATGCAAATTAATCACGCGAAGTATTACGAAGAAAAGATTTACTTTAAGTAGAGGTAAAAGAGAAAAGAATTAAAAAATTTTTTAACAGCTCTTCTTATGAGGATAAGATGGATGCTAAAATAATTAATAAAAGAGTTAAAAGAAATATGAAAGCTTAAAATCAATATTGCGTAAAATAAAAAGAGCATAAAAGAATAGACAATACTGTCTTAGTTTTGAATATATAAAATATATTTTAAAAGGATAATAACTTCAATTATTGAAATTTTCTTTAACTGAATGTTGTCATTCATAATTTGATTAAAATAAATATTCACAAAATAAATGTTGCAGAAATTTGTAAATTGGTTTAGAGAGTTATTTTTTGGAAAAGAGCTTGAGATTGCTTTGGTTGGTTTATAAAACGCTGGTAAAACTACTCTGGTTAATACGATGGCTACTGGAAAGTTCGAGGAAGACACCATTCCAACAATAGGGTTTAATTTTCGATCGGTGAAGAAGGGAAAAGTGCAAATGAAGATGTGGGATGTAGGAGGATAAGCAAGGTTTCGAGAACAATGGGAAAAATATTGCAGATCAGCTGATGTCATCATTTTTGTAGTGGATGCACAAGATTAAGGAAACTTAGATATAGCTAGGTAGTAACTTAATTAGCTAATCTCTTGGCCTAGTTTAGAGGGGATCCCTTTATTGGTATTAGGAAATAAATACGATCTTTAAGGATGGTAACATCTTTATAGTTATATATAGTATTACGGAATAAGAACTTATTACACAAATGAACTTAAATTCAATAAAAGATAGATTGGTTGCATGTTTTAGTATTTCAGCCAAAAAAAATTCAAACATTGATGAAATGTTAAAATGGCTTTCCAAACTCTAAAGAAAAAATAAATGATAATATAGGTGTTAATTTAAATTAAATATTTTTGATAAACTCTGATATTATATACTTAATTCAGATTGAAACTCATATTGTAATTGAAGAATTTCAATTGCAAACTTTAGGTTTTAATAATTTAAATTAGTTAGATAATATAAGTATATTCATATATTTAGGGATCAAAATTGATATTTTTTGAGTTTTAAGAGGCTAAAAAAGAATAGAAATTTTATTTTAACTCTTTTTAAAAATATGTGAGAAGACATTTTAAAAATTTTAGGCAACTTAGAAATAGATTTTAGTGGTTATTATGCACTATTCATAAATTTTAAAATAAGAAATATACCATTTTAATAAAAAAATATTATTTTAAGTTGAACAGTGATTTTGTTATTTTAATTTGAATTGCTTCATTAAGAAAATCTTGATCTATATTGAACCATAAATGAGTAAAGTTAGGAATTCTTAAAATTTCATATATAAAGTATTATTTTTTTTATATATTAAATGGGTAATAAATGCAAAGGGACTGAAGAAAACCATGAAAGAATTTATTAATCAAGTTTGGCATTGGTTGATTTTGTTAATAGGACAATTATAAATTTTTTAGATTTAAAATAATATTAACAAGATTAAAAAGAACTACAAATATTACTAGATTTTGTCAAATCTATTAATCTGAACTAATTAACACAAGTGCTTGAGAATGATCACTTTATATCGCTAAAAAAAATCTCATTACGTAAAAATAAAAAGTAGAGCTAAAAGAAATTCTGCGATCAAGTAAAAGAATTAGGATCTGTTAATTTAGAAGAATCCTTGCTAATTCTAAACTAATATAATTTGTGCATATTACAATTTTAAGACCTGTACAATAGTATAAATACTTTAGAGTAACATAAAGTAGATTAGTTTCAAGTGTTGAAAAACAAATAAATTTTTGAAAGCAATAATAAAGAAATAATTTGTGAAAAACATTTATATCAAATGTTTATAAGAATTTCTCATAAAAAATTTATTATCTTTTAATTAATAGTAAAAAACTAATTAAAATTAGGATCATTGGATTACGAAAATTCACTCTAAAAATCTTTAATTAATTATTCAATTGGCCTCAATAATTATTATAGAAATTTATGGTTCCATTAAAGAAATAATCATACCTGAACGTATTTTTTAAATTTTGATCATATGGATGGTTCAAGTAATAGTTTTCAATGTTTATAATTCAACTGCTTAAATTTAAAAATATGAACATTTACTTGATTTTATATTTTACTACAAATGCCCCATCGAGAAAATGATGATATTGTTTGCTTAATAAAATGTACTGAGAATTCAATATGTAATGAGAGATTAGGATTAGATAGCTGATTGTATACATAAACTTCTTCAATAATACCCACATAAATAGTTATTGAAACATGAAATAAAATTAATTGAATAATACGTTCATGAGAATTGGTTCATCTCTCTTTACCATATTGTAAGAACATGGAGTGTAATTGCTTAGAGATTTTGATTTGGAAATTTATAAAAATAATATATGAATAATATAAGAGTGTTTAAATTTAGTTTGAAAGTTTTCATTGAAAGAGTAGTAATTGCAATTAATTTTCCTTGCAAGCTCTAAGTAGCATGGAAGAGAGGTAAATAAAAGTTAGAAAGCAAACTATCAGATTTGAATGTCAATGTTGCTAATTTTAATGAGGAATTAGAAATTAATTCAAACATGTATTTCCAAGATAATCAATTCAAAGAAAAGAAATGCTTATTTACAGTTACACTTTTATCATAAAAGGGTAATAAAGTAGCAGGATAAGTCTCTGTAGACATTTCTTCATATTTGAATAGAAAATTAGAAAACATTAGAGAAGAACTTAGGTTGGATAAATGTCCAGATAGACATGCAAAAATTCACATAAGATTTTAATTCAAATGTATAGAAGAATTGGACATTGATTAATTGAGTAGAATATCTTTTGCTTCAAATATGGATCAAGAAGATTAATAAAATACTATTTAGAATTCAACTTAATAAATAAAACAGAATGAACATGGAAATATTAATGATTAATAATAAACATAATAAAATTAATACTAATAATAGGCAATTTATACAGAATAGGATTTGGATGAAATTAGAACATTATTAAGCATGGAAATGAAGAAAGTGTAAAAAAAAGATAGGGAGATATCAGAATTACAGTAGATTCTTGAAACTAAACAAGAACAATTCACAGATACTAAATAATAATTAGAAGCAACAAAATAGAAGCTTTATGAGACTTTAGATAAATTACAAAACTATGAGGAATCAATCACAAGTCATGATGATTTAAAGAAAAATTTAGATAACAGAGTAAAACAATTGGAGATCTAAAATAAATAGTTATAATAATAGATTATTGAGTGGAGTGAATAATTAAAATTAAAACAACAATTAGTAGTTTAATCTGATTAAAAATTATCAAATGCTCTTGGTTAAATGTAAGTAATGAAGTAAAGAATCAGTCAATATGAAGAATTGGAATAATAGTAATAAAATAGAAAATCAGCAGAAATTAATAAGGACATGGAATTAATGTAAAAAAAAATAAATGATTTAGAAAAACAAATTTAAAGAGAATAAAAAAAATAAGAATAAGATTATGCCTTATACTAAATTCAGTTAAAAAATGTGTAGGCTTAGTTAGTTGATAAAACAGAGTTAATAAATAAATTATAAAAAGATCAGGAATTTGATAATCAAGATGCTTCCTAAATTTAATAATTAAGAAAATAAATTTAATAATATTAATCAAATGAAGAACAATTTAATAAGTAATCATAATAATTATAATATTTAGAGTATTAAACTAATATAAAGAATAAATATAAAAAGCCATTCAAAATGAAATCAAATTAAAGTAATAATAGTCAGAAGAAAAGGAAAGGTTTAATGATCAAATAATTAAATTGAAATGTCAACTAGGAGATATTTTTAATACAGCATATGATATTGGAGGCAATAAACTTGTGGATCGTTTATAATAGGCAGTAGGTCTATCATGATTGATTAATATTTAATAAAAAAATATTTATGGATAATACCCTTTTATAAAGTGAGGTATTTCGACTCTAAAATTTGAAAAATGTAATCCGAGCATTTCCTAACAATAATAAGTTACAACAATTATTAGTGGCTGATGATTAAGGAAATTTATATCTGTTAGAAGCTAATGGCGATTAGTTTAAAATAGAAAATAAACAATAAATTTCTACAGGAAAAGATATAAATTACTTAGATTTATTGATATCTCCAGCTACATCTGAGAAAGATAGAATAATAGTGACAAGTGGTAGTTAGGTTTTAGGATTGACGAAAAAATTAAGAGAATACCTAAAGCATGATACATATAGCGCTGATTTAATTTAATTTGCAATGATCGAAGGAAATTAATTGTTTACAGCTGGAGAATATATGTTAAACGAATATACATATTAGAGTGACAAAGTGGGATAACTTTGTTTTTTTCTAAGTCCTGGGAAAATCAATTGTTTACAAGTTCATTATTTATCAAGTAAGGCTCATCCTATTTTGGGGTGCCAAGATTCTTGTGTAAGGGTCTTAAATTAAGATTAAGTCTTGTATGTAGTTACAATGACTGCTCCTGTAATTTGCATGCATGTTTATGCTCCGTAATACAAAGAAATTTCTAGTTAAAACAGAATTGAACATAGAAGATGCTTTGTGTTTGGATTAGAAGATGGCACAATTGTTGCTGCTGATCTTGGAATAGAAAGAGCAAACATTCTATTTACTTTCAAAGTTACCAGCATTGCCTCCATTAAACCTTATGATTTCTTCAAAACAGGGAAAACTGATTTAATTATTGCCAGATAAGACGGTGTTGTGGAAGTGTATTCAGATGATGAATTGAGAGTTTAAAAAAAAATAAATGAAGGAATAACTAGTATAGAATGCGGATAATTTTTTAATTTAAATGGTCCAACCGAAATAATCATATCAACATTTTAAGGAAGATTATTATTGTTAAGAGAAGGATAAAGTAATTCTATTTAAAAAAATTAAAAAGATATAGAACTTCAAATTAAATAATTAAAGACAGAAATTGCTGAACTATAAAAATAATAAATGAAGGATAACTAAAAGACTGGTAATGTTAGCAGATAAAACAATAACAACAAAGTTTAGGTAAAGTTTAAGGTTTCTCATAAACTGATTAAAAATGATAAGAATGGATCATATAAATTAATTATAGATTGTTAATATCCAATTGATATAATTGTATTGAATGGCCAAAAGAGTCAAAAATGCTATACAATCAGGGATCTTAAAGTCAGCAATTATGAAATTTCTATTACTTAAAGCGACATCTACAATATTTTTGTCATTCCAATTGATATCAACTCTAGTTAAAGCTTTTCGATAAATGTCAAATCTTTGGGGTAGTATTAGTCAATAAACTTGATGAATATAAAGAATATACCTTTGAGTACATTAACTCTAAAAGGTGAATTCACAAAGTAAGATATGATAATGTGGGTGAATGATTTAACGGATGTAATCAATTTGATAATAATTATAGTTACAAAATTCATAAGAAGACGCATAAACTCATTTATTTAGAAATTCTACTTTAGATAGTTATCTTTAAATTAAATTTAAGTAGGGTCATGCTTTATTTAAAAGTGATTCAATATCTGCTATTTATACTTGTAGACAATCAATTATGAATAAAGCAAATGAAAGAGGCATTTAAGTGGAGGTCAAATGGGAATGTAAAAACGAAAGTTTAGTGTAATATTTATAAAAAATAAAAAATTTATACGAAGATTATATAAAAATTAAAAAGTAACTTATTTGAGTTAATTTAGAAATTATGAAATTCTACCAGCAATCAAAGAGCTCTTAGTCGATAACTCTTTTTCAATTTTAAGCAAAGAGTTTTAACAAATTTATTCTTCTGAATAAGAGCTATAAGAAATTTACAAGGAGTTGCCAAACAATATTCAATATCTTGAAGATTTATTAATTGACACATATACTTCAAAATGCAATTTAAAGTCTTAATTTGATATGAATATTGATAATGTGAAATCATTGTGGAAAAGGGATTTTTAAGAATTAATTTAATATATTTTAAAATGAATTATGTCATTAATTTATCTATTTTTGGTCGATTATTGAACTTTAAAATTTTGTTTTATGTCATAAATATGTAGGCATTTTTAATTATTTCAAAACTACTTATCTCTTAATATATTCTAATTCCAAGTAATTTTTAAGTTTAATTTTACGATTAAGAAAATTAAATTTAATATAAACGATTATTGATTTTTTGATTATGATTAAGAGGATAGTATATCTTTTTAGAGTAATCGAATAATTGTAAAAGTATTTTTACAAAAGATTTATCTGCTAAGATAACATAGAGAATTATTAAGCAAAATTTTTCTCCTTGATATTTAGATTTAGTCGTTTAGATTGTAGACTTTGTAATATGAGGTAATATTTATTTAAAGAATAATTATTATAAATATATATTTTA